ACTCAAATGTTGTCTTCTAATGTAATACATGTTGCTCTACTAAAATAACGTCGCTTGAAGCCTAATTTATCCATGATTATTAGTTATAATTCTCACTAGAGATAGCCTTCCTTACCCTAAATTAGTTCACCTTAATTTGCAAAACCATCATCCTTTCAATAGGTTCCTTTCTTGAAGTCAACAAACCATTTTCTAAAAATAATTGATCATTGTTTACTCCAAGCTAACTTTGCCGTTTTCATGCAAACCATGCAAATTTCTCAATTCCTAAACAGTCCTGCCCGAGCTATAGCAGTGATGATTTACACAATTCAAACCGGTCCTTCATTCGAATCTAATTTAATCATAAAACCATTCCGTTTCCCCAGTTCCCATTCAATCAAGTAACAGATCCACCACCTCTGCAAAATCTACATTAAATGGACCGAAACAAACGCACTCCGTAGCAAATTGCGTAAACGACTCGACCGAAGCAGTTCCCAAAACCAAAGGGCCAGGATATGTTTGGTTTAGCTGAACCGGTCGGTCCCCTTGAGTAAATCTCAAATATGTACCCGCTCATACAAACATACACTCGCTCCTAGCAGCCGAGGGTGAGCTAAAATATTCAAATTGTAATGCTAGTCCAAATGGATGGACTTACCGGAGCTTCCAGCCTTCGACGCTCTGCCGTCGGCAAGGTGTGTGTATGGCTGCGTCTTCATCTCGGATGCGATAAACATTTAATTAAAATTAATAATAAATAATCTATTCATCTTTTCATTTCCCGGCCGTCCGAACCTCGGTCATAGCTGATGATGCCATTGCTACTGCTAAGCCGCCGCCGACACCGCATATGGCCAGTGCCGTTGTTATGCCAGAACGAAAGGGGGTACTGCGAGGAATGCGAAAAGGGAAACCACGCTCACACGACCTATAGTCAGTGTGTGTTGGTGAGTGAGGGGCGGTTGGAAATGCAAATTGAATAGATGTGTACACGTCGATCAACATTAAGCTGAAAGAGCTCTACACACTGCTGCACAGAAGTCCAAGTTGTTTGTCCTCCACCTCTCACCGCACTCGTTGGCCCCGGATTCTCCAGGGAGCTCCTGAGATGTCCGAAATGACAGGAGTATGCCGTAATGAGCACTTTCGTAATAATGTCCGATCAAGATTAGCTGATTGATATTTGCCTACCTGCCAGCCGATCTATCATCTCTCATTTAAATTTTAACGACCACCCTGTTGTTGCTACTGCTACGGCTGCTGTGAGCTGTCATTCTGATCCCCCGCGTCCAGGTCCGAGCCATTCATCAACCCCTCCTCGAAAAACGATAATTTGAAACTTTCTCGCAAAAACCTATCGAATCACTGTCGTGTACACGTTCGAGTTTTTCCCTTCAGGGCAAACAAATTTCAATGGAAATGAGCTCCCACCCACGCCCAGATCGTAGTACATTTTCCGATCGCCTCATTAAAGTTTACTCCGGACGTAGGAAGAACAAAAAGAAATCAACTCACATCACAGAACGATACCTATCCCCTCCTAAATCCCGGGAGCCATTGTTATGCAAAAGACCAAACGTTGTCAAAAATCTTCCCATTGTCACCGTTTCGTTCGGTCCGGACTAGATTCTACAAGACGGCGTCAAACGAACTAGAATATGTCAATTGGCATTGTTATTATTCATCAACAACATTCCGGAGAGTCGAAGAAAACTAGGTCCCCCAGTTTATTGGGAAAATCGAGCCAACAAGCAGGAAACTGTCTCCCAATCCGAAGTACAGTCCCCCTTTTTCCAGCACAAGTTTGTCATCAGCGACGTCGTTGTTTGGGAAAATGGGAAACAGGAAAAGTTTCCTCGTTTTTTTTTTTAATTGATAAAAGAAGACAATCTCATCGACAACAAACGATGGAGGAGGGTTGGGGGTAGTGAACAAGTTTTCAAATTTCTTCCAATTTAAATGATTTGAATTTTGTTTAAAAAAATCCCTCCAATAAGGAAATTACCCGCCAGTTGCCGAAGGCCAGCCTCGTTTGGCCACTAAGGCCTACCAACCAAGACGCTGTCAAGTTTTTATTTTGACATTTCAATCAAAGTGTGCGTTGTCGTTCGGCTCGAGCAGTTCGTTATCAATATTTCAATTGGGCGAAACTGCTTTTGTAAACGACGTCTAATAACGGGGAATGTTTGCACCACCAGTTGGTAAAGTTAGTCTGAGAGGGTGAGCTTTTATTCACGAAAAATCGGTGGTTGCAGCAGTTGTTTACAAAAGAAGTTTCTCCATATTGTAATGTCTACATCGACTTTGTTAGAGCTCGCTGCGTAACTTGAGTACGGTAAACAAAAAAGTGATTGAAAGTGGATTTTTCTCAAATTTCAACCAATAGGAAAAGCATGCCGAAGGCGGGTAAGTAAGCTTAAAGCTGAACTCTGGAAAATATGATCACAACTTTCCTCGAGGCACGGTTCTCGGTGGAGGAAAATAGGATTTAGATCACTGGCAGCTTGGGGACTTTTGTGCAAGTCGTCTCAGCGTTTTATTGGATTTCCACCAATCGAATCACAAACTGCAATATCATTATCGGGTAGCGATGGATAAGGGGAGGACAGGGAAATTCCGGAAAACTCTGTTTCCGTCTTTGTTCTCACAGGGACAGTCGACAGAGAGGAAAGACATTATAGCAGGAGCTATCGGTTCTTTGTCGTACTGTCGTAGAAGCCAAGAATCGAACGAACGCCAAGAAAATGGCAAAAATTATGCCAAATAGCGTACTCACACAGAGCGACAAAGTCCTTCCAAGTGACGACGCTGGTTGGTGCCATTATTTGCCGGAGCAAAGGAGGAAGAAAAGTTTGCCACCGTTGCTGGACGTCCCCTGGGTTCAGTACGATGGCAGACGTGAAGAAAAGCAAGTGTCGACCCTATTTTTCATATTTTCAGTCCACAGTGTCGCTCCCCTCCAGCGGGTGGCAGAGCAGCGACCGCCGCAGGGGTTCCCCCAAGTCAGTTTTTAATTATTAATTTATTATTGATTCTTGCCACGGCAGGATTGGACCTTCAATCCGTACTCCGGCGCGTCAACAAATGTGATCCAAACATCTATCCTCATTCGTGCAGACGTGTGACCTTACGAAATGTGTGAAATTTCAAGTCTTCCTGTCGATGTCTGCTGTCAAAACATGCTTTAAATCCACCCCTACCATCCGTGAACAAACCCCCGGAGAACCTCGAGCCAAAAGTGTCCCGCTAGAAGGAACATAAAGCAGCGACTCGTAACAAACAAACGAGGTGTGTTTCGATCGATGATAGCACAGCATAAAGCATAAGCTCGGAGCTGCCTCACATGTACACCCACACTCACACACATGGTGGGACGCGTCTGTTCATATGGAACAACAAAGAAAAGAAAACTGGGGGACAAACCCCGGTAATGCACCGACCTAAAAGTGTAGGGAAAACCATGACAGAGTGGAAAAATTCGTGCACGGTTCTCAGGGTTCCCCAGAGCAGCAGAGTAGTGGAAGGTTGGAAAAACATGTGTACCGGAGACGGTCGCTATGTTGCAATTTCACTGCTCAGCCTTCCGTTCTTTTTTTTTTCGTACCGCCCGTCAATCGTGGCTGGGCCCTTGACTGGAATGCCACTAGGTGATTCTTCGTCACTCCTTATTTGCCTGCACCACACTGCACACATTGCTTCTACTATCCATGCACCACACACAGACTGTCACATATGTGCATGTGTCAACCTCGTCACCACTTTGGTCGTCATCGTCAAGATCAGTGCATTTTTACGGACGTGTCTGATGCGGTAAGGAGCGATGGCCTGCCCTAAACGCATATACGGTGCAGTCTTGATTTTCGTAACCTCCGATGGAAGGGCCGCCTAAATGCTTGGTCAAAGGTGATTTTCTTGTTCATGTTTTTAGCGATCCAAATATTGAATGATGTTTGATAAGCTTGCACGGGAACAAATCTAATCTCCGAAATGAGAAAAATGGCCTCATAGCCTAGTCAGTAAAGGCACGGTATTACCAAGCCGGAGGCGGGCGGGTTCGATTCCCGGTCCGGTCGAGGGAGTTCGGGTTGGATATTTTCTCGACTTCCCTGGGCATAGAATATCATTGTGCTTGCAACACAATATATAAATTCATGCATTGGTATTGGCATCGAAAGCTCTCAATTAATAACTGTGGAACTGCTCCAACACTAAGTTGAGAGCACGCAATAAGCAAATATGCGCTAAGCAATAAGCTTGAAAATGTGAATCAGAAGAAGTCAGACTTATGATTTCATGAACATAGCGTAAAAATGTTATGAAAGAACACCATGAATAATATTCATGGCATCATGAGCTATGCTTGCGTAACGCACCCAAGATTCCCGAAATCATGAATCATCCGAGTTGAAATCATGAACTAAATTCATAAATTTAACTCTTAGCTTTTAACCAAAATATGTAAAGCACGTTCCAAACTGATTGTATTTTCTATCAGATCTAACTGAGAAGTCTATGTACGATAATTTTCAGGAAACGCACGAACTCAAAGCTACTTATGCTCTCTACTGCAAGAAAATGCGAAATCTCGTTAGTGAAATTGGGGAAGGAAGAATGTGCCCAACATTGTAAAACTTCAGGTCATCCTTAGACTACTCAAGATACTTGTCCATCATGCATAAGGTTTGATGATCACTTAAGGATTGCAAAAATGTTGCGGAATGCTTACCGAACTGTACCATCGGCGTACACATCAGAAGAATATGTTACCTGGTAGGCCATGATTTATAACCATGGTACGAAAAAAAACAAACTAAAAATATTTTGTCAGTTTAGTTCCAACTACCGAAGGGACAAGTCGACATATATACAGCTCTTAAACCTAAAACTAGTTTCCTTCTCTTCGAGAACACAACACATTTTAGCAACGAGGTAAAGTTCCCACGATTTTTCGGAAGTACCATCAAGCTCTGTTCCTGTTTTACCGTTGAAGCCCTCAAATCACTACGAAATCAAGAATGTCCGACAACGATCTGAAGCAAGCAATTCTCCGGCTGACGGCAATGATCGCCAACCAGCAGCAGCAGATTGGAGCCCTTCAACAGGTCAACGCGAATCAAGTTGGAAGCGTGAAGATCATCGAGTTACTCTCCACCGGAATTGACGAGTTTCGTTATGATCCAGACGGAGGACTATTTTTTGAATCGTGGTACACTCGATACGAGGACGTATTAAGGAGGACGAGAAGCATCTGGACGATTAAGCTAAGGTTGCTTCTGAGGAAAATCGGCACGCAATTCCACGAACGCTACGTGAATAGCGATTTGCCGAATCATCTACGGGATTTTGTGCTCGAAGAAACCGTCAAGAAGCTTAAGAAGCTCTTCGAACGCCAAAAGTCCCTCTTCAACGGACGTTATCAGTATTTTCAGCACATCAAAAACGACGCTGATGATTTTTCGTCCTATGCAGCGTCGGTGAACAAGCACTGTGAAGCGTTCCTGACCGAGAAGCTCTCCAGCGACCAATTCAAGACGCTCAGGTTCGTATGCGGTCTCCAGTCACCGCGTGATTCGCACATCTGGACCAGGTTGATTGGAAACCTGGAGGCAGAAGAAACCGCACCGCCGGCTGATGGTGCAACGCTGAAGCTTGAAAACCTGGTTGAGGAGTGCAACCGCATTATCAACCTCAAGATGATCGAGAAAGGTTACTCAGATAGATCTGTTGTTATTGCAATATCTCGACATTCAACAAGAAGGAAGGAGAAATTACCAAAAACGCCTTGCTGGTTCTGTGGGGATTTACACTATGTGAAGGAGTGTCCCTACCAGTCTCATACCTGTGTGAAATGCAAGCGTAAGGGCCATTTAGGTGATTCAGCTTCCTAGACTTGGAGGCCTTAAAACAATCATATTTTCGCGACGATTGCAGGTATTTAATCAGACATTTGCTCCCGTTGGAAAATATGCAACATCTTTCCCGGTTATAGCGTGTACATGGGATGAATTAACATCTGGCCGATCTGCGAGCGATATAACGAGCACATTCCATCGCGTAATTTGGCGATTTAAAGACACCAAAAACTGGGGTTTGTTTCTTCACTTTTCGTTTTGTTTGCTAATAATACGGATCGGCAATCGACAAGTGCAATTAAATTCCCGTTAAGACATAATCTCAAAACAGTGTTCACTCGGCTGTCGACAAAAGCAGGCCACTCTCGATGCGTGCTACGCGATCGTCTGTTTTCTCGGCAGCAACCATTGTGTGGTCCTCCTCATTGTTCTTCATCGGCAGTTCTTTCGGTCGATGCGTCGTCGACTTTGGAAAGCAACCGTTTCGTGATGAATGTGTGAGTGCTGACCACGTTTTGCGTCCATTGCTGCAATGGACGCGCTCTGACCCTCGTTGGCGTACAACAATTTGCCATACAATGAAACCACTGGAAGCGGCTCCAGTACTGATGGAGGAGGCTTTTTGGATAGCGGAAGATAAAGTGTTTATTGTGTTGTACCTTTTGACTATAGTTTTAAGATGTATTGTATAGTGACCAAGAATCCTCGGCTCTGTAAAGTTAATTCGGTTGAGCCTTATCAAATAAATTAATAAACAAAAAAAAAAAAATAATCTCAAACGAAAAGTGCAATTTCTGGAACTGGAGGAAGTTCACAGTTTTGAACCGAAATTTTGTCCCGGATGCACTTCTTAGCATTTCCTGATTTCCTCTTAGAAGTCACTTTATTGATTCCAATTTCCATGCCATCCCAATGAACGTCATGGCCATTTTCCACACAGATGGCGCTGTTCTGCTGGTAGGAAGCAATAAAAATCCCCATATAGAAATTAAGAAAAGTGCACACTTGGATTTTTTTGCCGAGATGGGAACCAGCGACGAAAAAATCCTGGAAAAAACGAAACGAAGTTCAATCTCTCAACATGCCATATATATTGATTCCCCCTTTTATGAGATTTCCCTTTCACAGACTACAAAATATAGTACCTATCCCAGAAAAAATTTTGGAACCCTTAATTATGCAATAAGATTTCCCATCCAGGGGCGGCATGACAACTATATTTGTCGTCGAATATGTAAGAAAGGAGGGACTCTGGATGCTAATCTAAATGCATATATAGAACTACCATACATGTTTTGACCGCACTGCCCTCTGTTAACAATTAACGGATCTAAGCGTATCCGTAGTTTCCGAATGATGTCACCATTCGGAATAGCAGTGACATCTAAGGGAAATTTTACGCAGATGCATGGTAAAACGAATAATTAAAAACAAAATGATCTACAAAATCGAGCAACCACTGTACATCCGAGCGCTAGGACACACTGCTCGAAACGGAGTGGTGAAAAAGTGACGAAAGAGCCTGGAGAGCCGATACCGCGGTCACTAGGAAGCGAGCGAGTGGTGTGAAATAAGAATCCCAGAAAAGGTGACAAGAATACGGTAATTGAAACAAGCACTGGCAGGCTCTTTTGATGGCACACAATCCTCATTCTCAGCGGAGATAGAACGAGTGAGCGAGCAAGAGCGACCGCCCGAAACAAGACTGGCTGACTGGCTTCCATTATGGACGGAAGACCACTCTAGGGAGCGCTGCAGCAGAACTCGACGAATGGAGCGAAAAAAAAATGTCCAGAAGAAGCCAACCATAGAAGAACATGAGAGGAGTGGAAAAAAGGCGCGTGAGTGTTCACAGCTATACATACATCAATCAACGCCGTTGTCGTTGACGACGACGACGACGACGTCTCCGTAACTGTCCCAGAGTTGTACTCTCATAGTCATCGTCGTCGTCGTCGTCGTCAGAGTCATTGAGGTTGATGATGATGTGATTTCACTCGTTAGAAAAGAAAAAGTGCAGGCGGAACGGAGGACGGTGCGGTCACCAGGAGAATAGTGCTGCAAGAAGCACACTAAAAAAGGAGGTGTTTTAAATTAAAGAAAACTTCTCACACGGTTTGTGTGTACTTTCAAACACAGTTTTTTTTACAATGGGACAGCTGGCGAGATAGGCAAAAATGACACTCTCTTGTCTCTGACGGGTCTCGCTGGTCATTTTTCGATTCCTTCACGTCCCCACAAGCGACAAGCAAAAGGTTCGCGCTTTTTGCAAATTAAAGCTATCTTTGGTGTGGCTTTTTGTGGAAAATTGCTCGGAACGATTAAATTTGCATTCCGGGAAGCGAGCGCACGAACGAACAAACGAACGAGTGCGTAACGACCGGAGGAAAGATTACGCCGTCATCAATCACCAGCCTGTGTCAAATTTTAAGGTTGGTGCGAAAATTGTCAACTGCTGCAAAGTTGCTCTAGCGAAAAGTGTTTCCCGGAAAGCAATCAGATTGATGTTCCCCTTTTGTAGAAGTTTCTAAGTGCTTAGGTTGAACTTTTCAGGTCAACGTTCCACCGTAAAATGGTCGGCAATCAATGGTAAACAATCATTGCAAACGATTGTAACTGTCCCACGCTTATTAATGCATTGGATTAATCTTAAATACGTCGTAATCTTTCAGTTTCACCCATTAAAAGATATAAGATTGATCAAATTGAAGGTTTCGTTCTTTCGATACACTTTGGAAATTAACAAAGCCTGGTTAAAAGTAAATATGAACCAGAAAATTTGTGTTTAATTTTGTTTTTATAATACTTTGACATTTAACTGGTGAAAATTTCATCAATATTGATCGACACTTTTTAAAGTTATATAGATCATAAAACCTGAAATATGAAAAATAATCCTACACAAACACTAGGGTAATCCTTCCAGGTCTGTTTTCAAGATAAACAAAATGTCTTTGAAAACTAAATAAAAACCCTTCAATTTGAGACGTCAATCATTTGTGTAGCGAACATCAAACTGTAATATTAAAAATGTATGAAGACATTTTCGATCATATAGGAATAACAAAGCCTCATTTTCCGGGACTGGGAAAACATGCGGATCAATGAGATAAACAAATTTATTCCAAAACTTTTTCATTGAGTATCATTGTCCCGACAATTTATTCGATTGAACTAGAGCAAGTTCATGCTGAAATATACTGAAAATCCATCAAACAATACTTGGAAAACACAGAAGAACTAAAGTCCAAGCTTCCAAGCACCGAACTTTTTCCATACTGCTATAATTCATATAAGTCAACCGTTCGGTTCACTCACAACCATTCGGAAAATATGCAAACGCTTCCGGGGAACCTAATTCGATAACAATCTCGCAACTCCCCACAAATACACAAACAAATATACCCCCATTTGTCCTGTGACTGACATAGAACAAAGTCACCGAGTCTTGGCAAAAATCCGGCCACCACCCTGTGCTTCCGACAAAGAATGCCATTCTCCAACTTCCGTTGACGTTGGAGCCAGCCCTACTGAATCAATGACGCTAAAGTTGGGTATGACTTTTGGATTTATTCGTCTTATCAGCCACCACCCTCTTGCGCAAATCTACATTTGATATGACAATCGCTCATTTATCACCCGTGAAGACAATATTTAGCGGCCATTAGCTCCCACAACAAAATCCCATTCCCTACGTCCAATAATAAGTGAATGACATGGTACTTTCAAGTCACCCTCGACGCTCGCACGCAGGACGACGCCTCTGCCCCAACTGTGGCTGCTAATGTTCTCTTTCCGCCCACCTCGTGCTCCCCATTGGGGAGCACGGAAGCCCATCAACGTCCAAAAGCGTCATCGTCGGCGTCGTCGTCGGAACCAAGCGGAAAACTAGGCCATAAATTGTGTGTAAGCCTGAGCCTTCACATGTATGTATACTCTCATATTCAGCGCAGTAGCTAGCTGACCAGGACCAGGCCGTGTGGGTGCCACTGACGGACGCGGACACCCAAGATTTATGACAATTATGAATGAAAATGATTAATCATTCGCCGGTGTGTGGGTGTGCGCCCGAGTTCGGAAGAGTTTTGCGGTCCCAAAGACCGGTGGTGTATGGGACGGAAACCGTAATGTATGTGTCCCACACGTCGTCTTCGGTCCGGAAGTACCGGGACAAACATGTCACATGTATGGACTATAAATCGAGATTGAACTCTGAAGAATATTCTCCTGGCGAGCGAGTAGCTAAGAATTTCCAGTTTTGGCTACGGAAGACTTTCCTTTCTGACAGCGGAAAAGGAAGCAGCAAAAGAAAACGGGAACAAGCGTTGGCGGAAAAGTCAGCTGCTTTAATGGCCTTATGTTTTGGAAATCGAAAACAGAGTTTCTTCTCAACAGCGAGGACGCGGTGTGACGCCATAGCAGTGTAGTGGAGTGGGTTGAGTCTAATAAGAAAAGGGACAATGTTTATGTCGGCAATTAGTGCGAGGTATTTGTCAGTGGCAGAACGATGGAGGCACGGCATGAGAAAGCCGGAATTGAAAAAAAAAAAACTGGGCCAGAAGTCAACATGACTAATGGAAAAATGTTTACGGGCCCAACTATTGAGGCGATTGTGTAATGGATAGGTGCCCGGAGTTGGGTGAAGATTCTGAGAGGGGGTGGGGTGGCTTGGAAAGGTTTTCAATAATTCAGCGCTGTGTCATTGTTCCGAAACAACGGAAATGTCAACGACGATTGCTGACAGGCAGGATAATGGTTGTGTTTCTTTATTTGCTGTACGAGAGTCATTCTAGATCGATAAGATTTGGATTACCTTTTTGAGGGGGCTGGAAATGATTTTCTGAAGCTTAATGGGATGTTTGGTTGAAATATGATCAGTTGAAATGTGATCTGCTATAATTTAATTGTTTTTACCAGGAAAATTGTTGGTATCCGTTCTGCCCTTCACTTGAACAACTTCATAATTTTCATAAGAATTGCTTAAGATTATCTCCCCAATTATTTTAATAATTTTCTTGGAAAAATTTACAGAACTT